TGTGGCACTTAGTGCCGTGGTCTGGCCGATGTGGTGGTGTTGGGTCATAGGCTGGACTTGATGATCTCAGAGGTCTTTTCCAGCCTCAACAATTCTGTGATTCTGTGATTCTGTGACACAACCCTTTAAATTGCCACCAAAATTTCACACCAGGGAAAACAAAGGCCATTATGAGAAACCTTAAAAGGTCATAAATAGGTCATACCTGTAGCTGCCTGCAGTCATATGATGATACAGTAAAATAATATCTGATGTTGGAAACCTTCAAAAAAATCTGAATGCACGACTTTTAAGCCCAAAAAACAGCATCAGTCAAGGCTCCTAATTGTCCTCAGCCTTATAAATATACTTTACTCTTCCTAAATATGTCCGACAAGGGGTGCGGAGGGAAGGATTTTCCTTTTAACTGTTCCAAACTCTTCTTATAAGGAAACCTTTTCCAAATGAGTCATGCTGCACAGGCTTTTAAACACAGCACTATTGAGCTGGCTTCTTCCTGTGGCCTTTTTCCATGTTTACACAGCTAAGGAATGCGAGGGTGCTTCAGAGATGAGATATGTGGGCTTCAAAACATTTAAATGTCAGCACTTTGGTATTTCATCTTCTGCTGCAAGGTTTGGCTGATGAATGTTAAACCTGTCATAGCATGGCAGGAAAGCAAAGGGCAGGGCTGTAATGGAGATATTGGGCGCCAAACCAGAAGCATTAAGGTTGATCTTGCATAATTGCACAATAGACTTTGATGACCTTTTTAACTCTTCGTACATAAGTCTTAGAGTTTTTCACTTTACAGGAGGTTCTTCCAAGTTCCAACCTCAGATTAATGAACATTTATCTGTAACTCAAATTAATTAAAAAGGAGTAAACAAAATAACAAACTCAAAGCAAAACAAAGCAAAGCACTTTGCTTTCTGAGCATGCTCCAAAAACCAGAGAAAATGAGCCTGTTGGCTACGGATTGTTGCCCATGGGGTCGCTCCTGGGGGCAGAATTTCCCCCAGAAAGCTCAGCTCCATTGTGGAACAAGGCATGTGGAGAGGCTGGGAGCTCAGAGTCAGGTTTTCTTGGCACTTCTTCCTCGCCCTGCGTGAGTGCTTTTATAACAAAGTGGGCACCATGCACCTTGTAAGATTTCAAGAAAGAGCTGTTTAAACATACGAGTGAGACAAGATTAAATTTTCACCTTGTTCCTAGGTTGTGTTTATACAGTTGCTGCGTAACTAGAGAAAAAAAGAGTCCAAGGAATAGTGTATACTTCAGGAAATCAAACAGGCATATGTGGGCCTGAGGCATTATCCTCCTTTTACAGATGCTCACACATTGAGACAGTGTAATCCAAGAGGTTAGTAAAGCCTAACTTTTGGCAGCTGTAATTACTTCTTTCATGCCTGAATCCATTCCTGGAACAGAGACCAGAAGGCCTGGCTGTTGCTGATGGGTTTACTGCCCTCTGTATGGTTACGAACCAAACTTCCTTTTGAAGTAGACACTGAAATGGAGCAACATCCAGGGAAAGTGTGAAACCTGCAGCCTTGCCTCTTTTGATTTTTTCTGGAAGTGGAGATATTAAGAAACAGTGAGCTGACCTTAGTCTCCAGGCTCGCTTTTGTGCTTTTTCTGTCTTCTCCACCAGAACCGAGAAAATATGATTGTTTACCTCAAAGAAGAGCTCCAAGAGATGAAGGCTGAAATGGACATGGAGAGCTGCTACGTGAAGAAAAGCACAGACCTCCAAGTCCTACAAACCCAGAAGAAGTGCAGCAATGCAGAGAATGTCCTGAACGAGGCAATTCAGGTGAGCACTTCCCCACGGCTCCTGGGGAAGGCACCTCCAGCTAGTAAGGAAAAGTCTTCCCTCACTCCCCAGGTGTCCTTTCCATTCTCCATCGCAGTCACCAACACAACTATTTGAATTGCATCAGGAAACTCATCCAGGTATAGAAATCTTTCTCTCTTCCACTGCTCCTCTGTATGGTCGTGCAAAGAGCAACAGCAACAGCAGAGATGGCAATGGCTGCTGGAGGCAGGGACTGCTTAAACTAATGCTGCTGTCAGAGAAACAGACCCATAACTATGCCCGAAGCAGGTAGTTACAAGCCTATTTAGCAAGATAAGCAGCCTGAGCTCCCAGCACGGCTGAGAGCTGTTTGTGTGGCCATAAGGTGAACTGGAATGGAAAAACTGTTCTGGTTTTGCAGGGTTTTTTTTTTTTTGACTGATCAGGGTCTGATCTAGTCCCTCTGTTATGAATGGTCCCAGTGCAAGTTAATTTTGTCACTGGGAAAAACGTTGTCCGAGCAGTCAGGGATCAGGTCAGGAACGCTAAGGCCCAGACAGAATTAAATGTGGCCAGGGACATCAAGGGCAACAAGAAAACCTTTTACAGATATGTCAGTGGCAAAAGGAAGACTAGGAGAGATGTTGGCCCTCTGTGAGAGGAAAGGCAGGGGGTTGGAAGTAGATGATCTTTAAGGTCCTTTCCAACCCACACCATTCTATGATTCTACGATCACACAGAGAGCTCCTGCACTCCTGCTCTCCAGCTTGTCTTTCAGCAGCACTAACTGCTGCTTTCAGCAGCAATGCACTGACATTGTCCCTCATGTTTCCCACCTGCGCTGATCACAGAACTTAAGGAGCAAAACTGACGAGGAGAATCGAGTCCACACAGAGATTGAAAATTTCCTCAGGCAATACCATAAGGTAGGTGGGACTGTCTGCTAATGCTTAAAATAGCAACAGATAAACATTGTATCATCAATTACTGCCTAAAGAAAACCAGTTAGAGCTCTGTTAAATTTACCAGGTTCATGACTGTGGCCATTTATCCTCAAGTCTTAACTAAGGCAGCTCTCCCAGACTTCAGATTTGCTACATATGGATACATTTCTTTAAAATCAGAGTTCATGTAATGATTGGCATCCTTTATTCAGGTGTTAAGTATTTTTCCTCGCTCAGATAGCTGTATTCAGCTAACTGGGATTTTGTTTAGACTTTCCTTGGCTGTAGCCAGGGCTCCCAGTGACTCGGAAAAGAGGGTCACTGCACCAAGGAGGGGCAACCGCTTCACAGACCCGAGTGTTGCACAGAGAGGGGCACTGAGAAGGAAATGACACAGACTGCCAGCCCAGTTTTGCCTTATCTGCATCTGAAGAAGCAGCAGGGTTGGATACTCACAATTACAGTCCCCATTTTCAACAGCAACCAACCATGAATGTCCTTGTGCTGTTACTCCAGAGGTTCAGAGCTTTCCTATCACTGACAGCAGAGCCCACTACAGTGAATAACACTGCGAAGCACCTCCTAAACTGTGTGTGTGGAAGAAAACCTGTACTACTCAGGGTACCTAACATCCCTGCCAGCATGAAATTTGATAGAAGTCAATCAATTTTAAAAAATGTGACTTGAGTGCGAAGAAGTGCTGTGTCTTGTGAGCAATTAAAATAGTGTCCTCTATATCCCAGAGTGTTAATCTGATCAACGCTTCTTAGTGAGGGGACTTTCCATGTACAGGCTGCAGCCTATTTGACCTCTACCAGAAAGCAAAGGATGAGCCTCTCTGCACTCAGACAGCAGCTGGTGGCTTTATGGAGGCCCACAGAGAAGAGGGTGACCATAGCCTCCATCTCCCTTGTGTGTCCAGCTGTGATGCTGTAATGAGATTGATGTTTTTCCTCAGATTATTCTTCCGTGCAAGCAACCATGGTTGTTGCTATGGAGAAGTTATTCGTGAATGGGAGGAAGTCATCTGGGTGACTGTTTCAGAAACACCTGCCCTCCTATTCACGAGTGAGACAAAGCCAAGTTCACAACCTGAAATAGCGTGAAGTGCTGTCCCCCTGGGACCTCATTCCTGGTGCACTGAGCTTAATGCAGAAAGCAGGCAGGGAGTCAGGCAGAGCATAAAAGCTTTCCCAATGACAAATTCTGTTTCTTAAACCGCCCTCCTTCCTTCCATATACACATGAAGAATGGCTTCTGGTTGTCACTTACTTCACCAGGATTGTGCACAAAACTAACCCCCAGTGCTTCTCCATTCTTCATGTACCTCTTAAAGCCCAATGTAGTCTGTCTTCATCCTCAGTCTGGTGCTGCAGCTTCTGTGGTGAACCCTCAGTGAAGGACATGCAGGCCACCAGTTACATCACTAGTCCTTGAGGTCTGACCCTTTCAAGACAAGAAGAAAGCATTGACCATGCAAAATTTATGGGACTCTTACCACCCCGCTGGCAGCAGGCCACATAAGAGTAGAAAACCTTTCCCCTGTACACTCTTTGTGCCATGATGAGCACTGCTCTATCTCCATGCAGAAGGTAGAAGAGAAGCTGGAATATTGGGTGGACAAGTATGAAAACGACACAGACGCTAAGGACAATGAACTGGAGGCCCTGAAAGCAGCAAAGGCAAACAACTCGGAAATGCTGCAGACACTTGCCAAGGAGGTAAGACATCAGCAGCACCGCGGTGCTCAGCCATGCCAAATGGCCATTCTTACTCTCATTCAGATAAGGAACCAGGACCATGGAAAAAAACCCAAACAACAGTAATCTCGAGGTCTAGGGTGGGAATATAAGGACTGGTCCTGGGAAGGCAGGGACTGAGTAGTCATGTATCTGCCACCTGTGACATGAAGAAGGGATGCTGCTGCTTCCCCTGCAGCTATTTTCAAATACCACCAAGTCATCAGAGAGCTACTGGCAGCTTTTGTGAGGGATAAAGACACCATCCCACCCCACCAGTATGCCTCACCTTAGTTTCTTGCCTTAGTCTGAACAAATGTGCTCCTTCTAGCAATATTGGGGTACGAGAGGTTGAGACTGGAAAAGGCAGCTCATCCCTTCACAGATGCACAGTGCTCTAAGGGAACTGATTCCAGTTAAAACCATTCCTGCCCCACACTGGTTTCTTGGTTAACTGCTGGGCTCCGATAACAGCTACGCAGGCACAGGGCAGAGAGAGGCATCTAGAAAAGGGGGTGTTTTAAAGCCAGAAGGAATTAAGTTGTCATTATCCCTTACTGTCACTGGGTCCGAGATGATGGGACTAAGTAAGATGTTTCCCTGCTTGTGGGCTCTTTTTTCACTCAGTGCTCTGTCATCTCCATGTCCCAAGTGTGTTTGTACATCATCTGCTGCCTAGCCTGGGGGAACATGGGTCCTGCCCACCACCATCTGTTGCCTGGGACACCATCAGCCAGCCAGTTCACAGCCCAGGATCAGAGGGTTAATTACATCCAGGCCGGGAGAGGTTTCACTTTGGCACCGCTCTCAGTGCCTCAGGAATGAGCAACATTTGCCATCTGGATTCAGGAAAGATCCATTAAAGGAGTTGGGGGAGGAAGGTCCACCCTTACACATTACCTTTGGGCTGCCAGGGCGGTGACCCGCGTGCCAGAGCAGCCCTGGCTGGGCTGTGACAAGCACGTAGGAAGGATGAGAGCAGCGGGCAGCCAGAGAAGCCTCCTCGCACCAGAAGGTGAGCCCTGCCTGGGCACGCTGCTGGGCAGAGTGAGCCTCGAAGGCTGGGCCTGCACTTTAGGGGATGTGTTTTTCATGCATCTGTTATCACCTTTGTGCTATCTTGCAGTGTCAGATGTTTGAGGAAACCATCATCAGCGACCGGGCGGAAAAGGAGGCGAGAAGAAGACAACTAGAGCAGGATGCCCTGGAGCTGAAGAGCATCTTGAAGGTAAAGGGCAGCAAAGCTGAGGCACTGCAGCTCCATCAGCAGCTGGGAGTTAATAATCCTCACCATAGGCTTTGCTCTGGCACAAAACAGCCTCGAAAAGTTGTCTGGTGTGGGGTGGACACAAGCAAAGACTAGACAAAGCCTGTCCCTTCACACTGGGACAGACACAAAACCAGCAGCCAACTTGAGAAGGGAGTGAAAGGGAAGAAGCTGGTGTCCTTGAATGATTTGAGGCTGTGCCCATCAGATCAGCCCCACTGCATGGGCGATACAAGGAGGGTCATGGGGCAGTTCTGCCTGTTCCCTCGCCACCAGCATGGCATGGTGCCACCCAGACATGGATACCTTCAGCATAACCAGCACAAGCCCGACTGCTGCTGCATGGGCTGAGGGTTCCCTCCTGCAGTCGAGGAGCAGAAGAGAGATATTCTGGCCATTGAGCTGCACCAGGTACCCCAGCAGGTGATGTCCCCTAAGACCTCTCTCCGTCTCTTCCAGCTGCAGGCCTGGTGGAGAGGTACAATGGTCCGCAGAAACCTTGGACCTTACAAGGCCCTCAGGAAGATTCGGGAGAAGCGGCGATCAAAGCAGAAAGAAAAAGGGAAAAAGGGAAAAATTGGAGGAAAGAAAAAGATGTGATATGTAAAGCAAGTGGCTGCAGATGTGCTCCAAGGCTGTTGCTGGGCAAGACACTGTGGTCTGTCTGCTCGGACAAAATAAACCATGCAACAGAGCCTGGGCTATTCTGGAGAACACGGTTCATCACTGACACATTTAAGTGAAGATGCAGTAACTCTTAAGACCTTGAAGGTGCCCTTGTAGAGCAGAGACATTCTTTCTGCAGCAGAAAGGTGAACTGCGTAAAAGTAGTGAGAAACACAATATCCCCCAAGTGTTTTCTGGAAACACCACAGCTAGTGGGAGGCAATCCTGCTAACTCACCTGCAGGGAACACCGCACCAAGAGCCAATTCGGCAGAGCCCGAAGTGCTGCCTGTGGCTGAGGGACAGCGTTCGCTGCAGCTCTGGGTGAGGCAGCGCAGCCAAGTCACCCGTACCTGGGTCCAGCAGCGCTCTGCCTGCTGCCAGCACCGGCGTTAGGTGAGCAGCAGGGAAACTGCTGGCGGTTTGCAGTGTAATCATCAGGGCAGTCAAAGCACGCAGGCTGCCATTTCCACAGTCCTGCTAAATGTCAGCCCACACACAGAATAGCTCCAAATACCTTCTGACCGAGGGAAGGAACGATGGACAAAGAGAGCCGGCCATGCTGACCCCAGGGGCTGGTCTGTCACGGCCGTACCCACCATCCCGGCTACTGTCCCTGTGCTGTGAGATGAGGCAGCAGGCAGGAAGCAGCATGATGGCTTTTTAATCAAGAGGCCTCTCTCCTGACATGACTGTCACATGCAGGGCTGTGCACAAAGCAAAGTTAGCCCTGCAGTGAAGCCACCTGGTTTCTGACACTCCCATCAGGAGAGCAAGCTCAAGCCACACTAAGTCTGCTGTGACCAGCCCGTGCTGGCCCCACACAAACGTCCTCATGTCTGAGCTCAACTGTGCCAAAAGCTCTGAAGTTCAGCTGAGATGATCCAAATCATGAGCAGAGAGCCTTTGGCTCAGAACTCTCTCTGAACAGGAGGAGAGGGGCTGGTGCCTGACTATTGGGCAGAGCCAACTATCAAAGGGGCACTTAAATTTCAGACACTCTAGATAAAGATTAGAAGTATTGGTGTTATTCCTGGGGCACTGCTGCGCATTTTAAACCAGAACACTCTCCCATTCCAGCACTGGTACCAAAGCCGTGAACACATCTGCTCACTCTTCCTGATCCCCCTGCAGAGGTAAGGACAGGGAACGCTCCAGCTCGATGCTGGCAGAGCCCACGCCACGACTGCGCTTACACCCCACGTCTGCACCTCACAGCAACCATGGCGGTTACGTTACTAATTTTAACTCTTCTTTTTCATGTGCTGCTGACTTGGTACATTTCATATCAGTCCAGTATTTTCTGTCCGCAGTGGGTGTTAACAGTTGACCTCCTGGGGTGGAGGAAATGAAGTTTGATAATAAACTCTTCAGAGATTTTGAGCTAAGGAAAAAGTGGGACAGAATGGAGGCACAGGAGATCTCCGCTGTTTACATGAGACTCTGGGTACACACCTTAATAATTCAACCGACTGAAATCCGAAGCATGGCAGCAGCTGGGCTTTGTTCGATTTTCAGCAGAGAACAAAATACAACAGAATCCTGAAAAATCCTCCAGATAAAGGGATACTGCCAAGGTCAGGTTCCCCTTCGAGCCCCAGTTCCTGATGTCAGAGTAACACCACTTGTTTTTACGGCACACCAAGTCCCTGGAGCCGCAGGGAATGACACAGTAGGACGTTAACACGCTGCACTGGATCGTGAAATAATTCAAAACTTCCATTCTGGTGACTGGTATCTCAAAAAAATCTAACAGCAAACAAACCCAAAGCCATCAATTCCATGGGCACAGCAGTATGTTTCCCAAATTTGGAAGCTTTGTGTCTGCGTGTGTAGGGGAAAGGTGATTTTTTATCTACAAAATTATATAATAAAAAAAAATAAACACCTGCTCAAGTCTCCTACAGGGTCCCCACATGAGTGTCCTGGCCACCTGGTGTTAGTGTGACGGGGACAAAGGTTTTTAAACCCCACTGAACCCCCGTGAGCTGACACTTCCGTGGTGAGAACAGGAAGCCTTTGCCTGGGGACTGCAGCCATGCTGCCGGCTGTCCGTCCGTCCGTCTGTCCGTCCAGCACCTCCTGACCTCCTCTGCTGCCGAGCCTTACCTTGAGCAGTCAGAAACCACAGTGGGCTTCTGCTCCTTGGCTGTCCAGCTGCCAAGTGAACGGGCTGGGTGTATCCAGCAGTGGAAGCAGAGAACAGGGTCCCAAAATCGGGCGGTTTTGAGAAACTGCCAGGGGTGGCACTGCTTGTTTTTTTCCAGCCGTGGAGAGATGGGATCAGAGTGCACATCCATGATATTTTGTGCAGGGAAAACCAGAGGGTGCAAGCCTTTTGGAGAAATGGGTTTCCAGGGAGGTAAATGGAGAAGAAAGGCTGGAGACTGTTTAGGAGGAGATTTTGAACAGAAGGGGAGAAATGAACACCAGGAGAGAGCTGGGCAGCCTCCACAAAGGCAGGAGCGGAGTTGTCCAAATGACTGAGGGAGTCAGCAGATCCAAAAAGGATGTAGAAGCGCTTGGTGAGCAGAGAAGAGTACCGCGGGGGTATGCAGCATGTGCCAGGTAGGGAGGGCTTGTGGAGCTCTGGCCGTTTCTAGGCCCTTCTAAAAACAAAAATAAATTACAAAAAGTAGCTATGAGGAAGGAAGAAAAGAGGAGTAAACGTTTTGGCTAATAAGAACAAACCTTTCAGTTGCTGCAGGGGCATGAAGCAGGCACGCAGGCTTTACAGATCCAACCCAAGACAGGATAAAACCAAGGCAGCGATAAGCACGGCAAGGAGCACTAGTACTGGCAGCAGCAAACTGCCCAAATCTAGACTGTGCGGTTTACTTCAAGAAGGAAAAAAACGTGAGTAGGGAGGGAGTAGCAAAGGTTGCTGTACAAAATTGCTGCTTCTTAGAGTCTGGGCAAGGTTAAAAATATCCCCAAGCTTCTGATGTGGCTGCAGAACTTGTGTAAAAATGCTGCAATTTTTGTATCTTGGATAACTGTGAAAACTAGAGAAACCAAGCAGGTCCATTAACTGCCAGCTGCGGCGCTGGGGATGGGAATAAACACCCGACACTGAGGTTGGGACATTTGCTGATGCAACAGAAAAACAGCAGGAGGAAATACTATTATTCATATAAGTTTTAAAACTTTATTTCAAATTACCCATGGCTTCTGTTTATATTATCAATGTGCTAGAAGTTCACACTACCGGCAGAATACAGGCAATTTAAAATAAAGTATACAATAATCAGACACATTTATATGTAACAGACTTAGAAATTATGGAATGTATTTACAGACATACAGCATGGGATGAAGCTTTAAAATCCTTTGCTCTATTAATTACACGTTTACACTGTTTTCAGAAATAACAAAATTAGATCGCTTTGTAAAACATCACAACACCTATACAACAGAATTTTTTAGATGTCCAAATTCACCTTAAAAGTCCTCTGTTTCTAAAATTTTTTTTTTTTTTCCAAGAACCATTTATAGTTATAAAAGGGAAAAAATACCATTTGCCATCAGGTTGCTACCAAGAACAGCAGAGCTGTTCTTGGCACTGTTAAAAGTCATTTCTGATGTATTTTAAGCAGGTCACCAAGGTCAAGGTCTTTACAAAAGTCTCCCCCTTCACAAGGGGGACGCCCCAGAGCACGGCTGTTTTGCCCTGACCCCTGCAATGCTGTCGGGGACCATGCAGCGCCGTGGGCCTCGTGCCGCTCGACCTCGAGCGCGTCACCTCGCCGAGCCCCCAACGCCAGTGCGTGAACACCAGCGAGCACGAGACGCTCGGATGGATTCCTCCCACGTCCTCCAACACAGATGTCCCAGGGAGGAAAGACAACTGCCTCTTTGCTTTAACACAAAAAATAGAATTTTATATGCGTTCTCTTTTAAAATATTCTTCATGAGGGATACAACAAAAATTGCACATCAATACACCGAAAAATCCCAAATCATTTTGCAAATGAGAACCAAAGTTGGTTTTAGTATAATACGTTAAATAAACTACGATCAAGCTCCAGGTTTGGATTTTTGTCTTACGTGTCTGGCGAAGATTTAGCATCTGCCGGCATGAAAACACAGCGTTGGAGAAGTCAAACTAAGATGACCACACACATTGAAACTGCCAGCGTGAACTGTTGTTAGAACCAAGTGAGGGACACGCCGCCAGCCCGGCCCTTGCTCTCCACCCCAACGCACTGCGGGTACAGAAGCGCAGCTGGGTCAGCCCAGCATGGTAGGAAACGGCTGTTTCTTGCCATTGAGGCTCAACTTCCCACAGCGTTATTTCCTACAAACTAGCATTAATGAAATGTCAAACTTCCACCAACCTGAATACTGTTAAGTTTCATTTTCCCCAAGTGCTGGAAGCTGGAGCAAACAGCAACCCCTCACAATTCCAGGAAGGGAAAGGTTTTCTTAAAACCAGAATATTTAAACACTCCACGAAGGAGTGTGCTGTTAAAAAGCAACGTGCCCCTGTAACGACCCAAGTGACCTAAGGTTGGAAACTAAGGTGAAGTCAGTGTCCCCCTCTTTCAAATTCTCTGCGGAGACAAACATACAACAAACACTCGTGGACTGTGCTGCTGGCTGCCAGTGGCAGAATCCTCCGTGTGGCGAACGACAGAGACTTCAGACACCGTTACAGAACCTTTTAAGAAATACCAGCACTCCCAGCAAGTGAAATTCAGTGAGCCACAAGACGTACTTAAGGAGGCAAGTGTGTCTGTAGGGAGCTGCTCCCCTGCATATATTGCAAGTTTCTTGCAGGACTCAGGGCAAGACACTCATTATAAAAAGGTTTCTCTTTTCAGCTGTGCAGTTAAAAATACCCTTCAAGTATTCTTCTCCACTTGCAATGTGATCAGTCAATGCCAATAAGAAGCTATTGGAATAATTATGTGAAATAAGGGATTCAACAGTCACCACGATGGACCTTCAAAGACATACATGAAGCAAAACAGAACAGAAACAAAACTGCAAATCAAAAGGGAAAAAATTAGCTAAGACCAGTCCTTGCCAGTGCTCCCATGGCAGGGTTACCTTCAGCAAAAATGGCTTTCAGATAGCCTGTTCCCATTTCTTCTCCTTCCTTACCCCCATGAGATCTTCTTGGTGTGTTCTGCTTCAAAACTACGCCCAGATGCAACACCTCCGATGTCTGAAGTTGCTCATGCACCACGTGTTGGTAGCATAATGTTCTGGGATGCTTTAAAGTGCCCAAAACCTACTAAAGGAACTGCACGTGTGAAGAACTGGATTTTGCAAGGTCTTGTTTTGGAAAAAAAAAAAAAAAAAGTGGCAAGTGGTCTGGCAGTGAGCTTGGCCTTGTGACTAGGACCAGAGCACACAGAGCACTTCTTTGTTTCTCAGGTCAACTTTCAGGCAAAATGCAAAACTTGCTGGCTGCCTCTCCCATTCCTGTATATCAAATTTCCGTTTTTATCTTAAGGGAAGAAAGAGGACATAATGGCAGTTCTGTATAACCAGTGCATCTCTACATAAACTCCAATGATAAAAGCCTTTTTTCCTTAAAGCCTCATTAAACCCACAAACAGAAGCTACCTTTTGTGACAGATTGCTGCTTTGGCCATATGCAGCCCACCAGTGAAAATTCCGTAATTTTGTTCCTAAAACAATGTATTTCTCAGTGGCAGGGACACTCACCAGCGTTGGCACGTCTGCATGGGATGCTTCAGCTCCTAATAAATATATGATTTGATACAGGGTTTGTACTGATTAACATGGCAGACTGTAATTCTTCACACCACAGTGAAAATCCATACGCGGTTCCTGATGACATCTGGCCATCATTTGACAATACTGTTGAGTAACCAAACACATCCCTACGTGACCAGAAGGGGAGGAGAGACAACACAGGAGATCTCCCTCCACTGATGTCAGAAAGATTTTCAGATACAGACATGTTAAAACCCAAACAGCCAGTGAATCCACCAGGAA